TGTGTGTGTGTGTGTTTGTGAGCATGTACACTAAGCACATCTCCCTGCGTCGGAGACTTGCATAGCTTCTGCAGGACAGGAAGAGCAGTTGTCCATTTGGACGGAGCCTTTGGCACAGCCTTGGCTGATAACTGAAGGCAGTACTCAATTCAAAGAGACAATCTGCCCTTATTGCACCATAAGTACATGTGTGTTTTCATATTTGCACCATATGAATTGGGATTAGCAGCCAATTGACTCTTTAGCTTGAGCGCGTTGCACCATATGAACACTGTTGTTGCTGCTGCGTCTGTCGCGCGTTTGCACTGAAACTACTCCTAGCGAGTCTTTTGTTTGTTTTTGAATCAACTAGCACCGCGGAAAAGTAATGTAAGATCGCTCCTTGTTCATATTTGTGTTTAAAGGGATACTTCAACATTTTTGTGCCAGTGTCCTTGACTCTGTTCAATAACAGCTGGTTCCCACTGTGAAGGGTCGCTAGTGATAAATCTTGAGGGATGACCACACTTTCTGTTTTCTGTGTCCGCTGATAGTTTCGGTCACACGTACTTCCGAGGGTTGGCTTTAGTTTGGTGTTCCACGCTACATTCCCCACGTTACATTCTAGATTATCGGGTGCTTGATGACATTTAGGACATTTTTGCTGAATAACTGAAGGTCAGTTGGCCAATTAAGTTATAATTTTACGATTAATTCAGCACAGAAAACAAAAAAGCAGCTTCTAGCCTGTTGTCAACCTGGAGAAAGGTATCCCAATTTGACCCATCTGGACAAAAAACTAAACACAATATGTTGAATTACCCCATTAACACTATTCATCCACTCTTCTCTTCCACCTGCTCTATCCTCTTGGAATAAGAGCATGTGTGTCTTCGTCTTTAGTAATGCAACTATCTGAAATGGCTCATGGCCGGGTTTCACCTCCTCTGCCGCTTGTTGTGAGGCATCCAACGGCTCTTTCACTACTTTCCAAACCCCTTGTCGCACCTCGCCGCCAAGTTGCTAAAGGCGGCCTGATGACGGCACGAGATTTCAGGAACGACGTTCCTGTCGACGGGCTGATGACTGATAATTCAGCTCATTTGTTGTCGCCTGCCAATGTAACAGCTTGGATTACAGGGATAAACAAACAAAAAATGAAATCACGAGCCACTCATCACAGCTCAGCCGTGGGTGGCTTTGGAGGAGTCGATGCTGGACACGGCACAAGAGGAGACGAGTCATCGGGAAGGCCGCGACAACTGAAGCACAAAACTGTTTTACGCCAGCTTCACTGGCAGCACCATGTGAACACGGGACCGGCATGATGAGGAAATCACACACGGAGAAATGTAGCAGAGAGAGATCAAAAAGAATTAGTCTTACTCTGTTGCAAACTTGAATTTCTCTCAGTTTGGCCATTCTCCAAACAGGTAAGCACTTTTTTTGTTGTTGACCCCGAGATCAGGTCCACATGCATAAAGAATCTTAAACACTTATTTTTACTCTAACATCTTAAATACTTTAGGTATTTTTAATGTTTAATGGCCGACTTTTGGCCCGAGCTTCATAGTTAGCGTACTAACATCTCATCTAACTCTAACTCCAAAACCATTGAGAGGCTGTCGCTCGCTGCATCTTTAAGTTTTGTCTGTTTGAGTGTGCGTTAGATACAAATCACAATCCTCTGTCTCGTCCCATCATTATCTGCCAGTAAGTCGACAACGACGTCACGATACGTAAAAAGCCTCCCTTCTCTACATAGAAAATATATACACAACCTTTTGACTAGACTAACGACAACACGTTCACAAACTCCTGTTTTTAAAAAGTGACGTTTGGTCTTTTCTTTGTCACGTCTTTTTATTTTACCGAAACCCGTGAAGAGTGTGAGCGACGCAACATAAACGGCATGCGGTGGTTGTTGGGAAACTGAGCTCGCGTTTCTTATTTTTTGTTTTCTTCACAGCAGAGTGTGGACGTGCGAAATCAAAGAAACGACGACAGATGAAGAGCCATCAGAGGAAAGACGGAGGGATGAAGAGAGAAAGAGATGGACTCGCGCTGAAGCAGCTTGTTGAGTCGTAGGGGTCGCAGGTTCCCACGAGGAGTGTGTGTGTCTGTGGGTCAGGAAAGTGTGGATATGAGTTGAAGTGTGTCCGATTGCTTTTGTATCTGTGTGCTTATACCAAGTGACCATTGTGAGTGTGTGTTTATATATCTTCTCTAAATCTGAACATCCATGTGTACAAATATCTTTTCATGGTGGCACGTGTGCTTGTGTGTACTGATATATGTGTGTGTGTGTGTGTGTGTCAGAGTGAGGACTCGTACTGTAACAGTTCATACAGTAGGGGTCCATCACGGTAGCGGATACCCACGGCAGCTGGCGTAATGTACTGCAGAATGTTTATAGTCCTCCGCAGGCGCCTGTCTACGTAGTGGGCGTCCCACGCCGGGTAACGCTTCCTCGGCATGTCGATCTTTATGAGCGGCCCTCCTGGCTTGATCATTGGGGGCGCCGACCTCACCTGGAACACGGGAAGACACGTCTCGGCCACATCCTCTTCCGTCTGTGACTTGGTCATGTGGGCTGGGGTGGGCGGGGCGGTCGGCGGGGCAGATGGGGGCAGAGGGAGACCCCAGAGCAGCTGTGCACAGCAGGTGGAGGCGGGACTCGGCTGCATGTGGGCAGTGGCAGGGTGGAGGAAGCCGTAGTACAGCAGCATGACCAGGACGCCCCCGGCGAACGTCAGGTAGACGCTGCACAGTGCTGGGAAGGCGTAGGAGTCGGTCAACACCGGATCCCTGTAGGCGTACCTGCAGGAACACAAGGGTTTAATCTCATTTGTGTGTGTGTGCTCTGTAAACCTCATGGTAATTAGTTCTTTTTGATTTTTCTCAGATTCTCTTTGGACTCACCACAGCCCAGTGAGGATGGTGTTCTCCGCCAACACCACGGTGTAGTACGCCACCATTCTGTACCGTGTCTGGCCCTCCTTCACGTTAAACCAGCAGAAGATGTAGACGATGCCGACCACCATGTTGAAAAGCACCTCCTCCCATTTGGACATGCAGAAGTCGGTGCCGCCGTGCACGACCCAGAAGGCCATGGCGCACCAGTGGAGCACCACGAAGATGCCAAAGTAGATGTGGAAGAGGGAGGCGAAGAGGGCGAGCGAGAGGACGCGGGACGAGATGGTGAAGAGGCGCCAGAAGAGGTGCAGCAGCGCTCCGCGGTAACTCATGCCGCGCTGGTCGTCACGAGAGTCGCGCAGGAGTTTGTGGTAGGAGGCCAGGACCCAGGCGAGAGACAGGAGGGAGGCCAGGGAAGAGATGCCTACAGAGACAGAGCAGGGTTACGAGAGGCTTCTTTTGCTTCTTTTCTTTCTGACTCAATCAATCAGAACAAAGTCGAGTCATGATTTTAAGATTTAAAAATATATTTTGAGTCACTGGGGGTGTAATGATTGGAGCACATTCTTAAATAAGAGGCAGTGTGTGACGCAGCAGAAACATTTGACACCTGATGGTAGGAGTCTAAAATACAAATTGTCCCAGCTCCTGTCAGCATCCACCCCCTGCACTAGTCACATATTTGCATTGGATTAGAAGGTGTCCCGAACCTCCACTGATGGGGATGAATAACACCAGTGGGAGGCTGCCTGATACATCGCCTGCATGAATAAGGAGAGGAGGCTGATGGACTTTGCTTAGCACATCCCCCGAACACTTCTGATTGTGCTCGACTACCTGATCAACCCCCACTGTGTGAAAACCCACAGCAGCACCATCTGCAGCCACAAATGACTGAGAACGAATGTGTGCAAATTGCTAATTAGTGCTTGTGCAGCTGTTTATTTGCTGTTTTATTTGTGGGTGTTGTGTTTGTAAATGTGGCAGGAAGTGGGTCGCCCTCGGCTTCTCAGACGCCGTGCTCCACCTACACTGCAGCGTCTCGGCCCGGTTCTCCTGGATCATGATGCACAGCTGCAGGACCAGCTGAGGCGCCGACTCCAGGAAGGTCTCCAGCAGCCGCAGCATGTTGACGTCCGCGTACTCGAACATCATGGCCCAGTACCACCGCCGCTGGTACTCCTTCTGCCGACGGGACATGATGCCCAGATACAGCGTCCTGATATACCTGTACAGGGTCGGAGGTGAGAGTGTTGATGCCAGATATTCTTATCTTATCAATCTTACTGTTTTCAGGCTCTTTCTATGCCACTGATTGATCATTTTGTCAGTGGATAGAAAATGAATCTGCAGATATTTTGATAACTGTGATCGTTTCATTCGTTTACACAAATATTTCCTGCTTCTCAAATAATACACTATGACAGTATAGTATAAATACCAATTCATTGACTTTGGTTCTCACTCTTCTCGCTTCACTTTGCTTTATTTGATAAATAATACAAATTAAAACCATTCTGAACTTCCATTCAAAATGCATCCAGGTTCTATTAATGGTCCGATCACAAATATAGAAACGCTTGGTTGGAACAAACAGCCGTGAGAAGATCTGGATCCATACATACTGTGTGGATCTCTAGAAGTGCAGCACATGTGGGTGGGATGTGGGCAGTGATTTCAATTAAAAGTGCCTGAGGGCTTTTGCAGAGAAGGTGTGTGCATGTGTGTGCATGTGCTCATAATGAAAATCCTCCTCCTTCCCAGTGTGTGCATCACTACTGTACAGTGGGGGTCTCCATGTATACGTGCGTTCCTGGGTGTCATCGAGTGCGTGTGTTTCTGCGCTCCTACATAATGCATGGTTCTGTATCTACGCCCCATTACAACCATCTGGCATGAAACATATGAGCTTAATTCACATTTCATAAATAATGCACCATCTATAGGAAAATGCTTACATGTGCACGCAGGAGCCATTTAAAGCTGATTTCATGGATTTTGCAGCTTTGAAATGAGAGAAAGGCCAAAATGCTGTTTGTCCTTGACTGGAGAACAATGAAGGGTAAAAAGGCAGAACATTCTGTTTGGCTTTTTTCTAACCGTGAGAACAGGAAGTCCTCTCAGTGGCGTTCAAGAGGAGGATTGAATCTCTCCTGTGTGGCGTGGCAGGCGAACGAGACGGCCTTTAAACATCTCTGTGTGGAGGGATGTAGTTTGAAAAACCCGTGTACCGAATACAGTAGATCTTCATCCCCCACCACTCTCACTCTTTCCCTCACTCCTCTTGCTCCTTTTTCCTCTCCCCTCCCCCCGTTCCCTCCGACTCTGCATGTGCAACCTCTCTCCCTCCTCCTCCTCCTCCTCCATCCTCACCCCTCCTTTCTTCCACAGCCACTCCATCTCTAAGCAATCTGTCTCAATCAGGCCATATACCATTTCCTTTGCGACACCACCACCAGCATCACCACCCGTACCTCCCTCCTCCCTCCTCTTCTCCTCCTTCCTCCTTCACCCTTTCTCCTCCACTTCCTTCAGGTGGGAGAGTCTATTCCGCAGGCCGGGGGGGGGGGTTGTGATGATGACTGGGTGGGGTGGATGGAGGTAGATGAGAGATGTGAGTGTGTGTGTGGGAGATGTTTTAACCCTACAACCAAAGAGGGGCCGAAGTGGATTAGTGTAGCAGGCACAGCGGGATGT